AAAAAAAATAGCAGAGTAGATGATGTACCAAGCTGCTGTAGTCTCGCCAATACAGATACATCTGGATTTATGTAGGCAATAGATAAAGAGTTGGGGATTTGGGGATGCTGTATTTTGCTTTGTTCATAATTCCAGTTTAAGGTTGGCGGCCTTAAATTGACATAAATTGACATAAACACTCAATATATCCCGGCCAAATGCCACTGGAAAGTGTCATGCCTCCTAGCATCTCGCACTGACCTCCATTTAGTGTGCACTCCATGCAAAATCAGGCACTTGAACTTCTCCTGGTGCACCAGTATTTGGTGTTTCTTTGACAACTGTTGTCCCTAAAAATGATGTTTTTAGAATGTAAGAATTAAGAGGCTTGCAAAGAAGTGTGGTGTGTCCTTCATAGCTAATAAGTAAGCAGAGTTCCAAGACACAGTGGATTAACATATATGATACCTGGAAATTACTAATTTAGAATTTATTTGCCTTTAAAATTTTTTTTTTTATTTTTCATACTTTTTATTTTTATTTTTTTACTTTTATTGTTTGCATTCAAATATGTTTCTGCTAAGGCAGCAGACAGGACATTATACTTTTTTTCAGAAGTTAATTCGGATTACTAATTGACTTTAAAACTAGTCCTGATATTTTCAAAAGAACTGGCTGGAACAGAAAGAATAGATGACTAAACTAAGAATTAGTGATTAAATGTCCTAAATTACATTAGCTAGATGCAGACTCTTTTAGCCTGTACTAACTGAATAGATTCATTCAAATACATAAATGATATGATTATGATATGTGTTTTTTTTCTTTCTTTTAGGTAGTGGAGAAAGAAGGGTATCTTCTGAAAGCAAAAATAGCAGATGGTGGCAAGAAATTAAGGTATTATATTTCAGTGTTACCTTACTAGTTGTAAAATTAAGAATTGGTGTGTGTCTAACCATGTATCACTATTATTGCTTATAGACGAAGTGCATTTGTTTCAGTATAAAACCAACACGATTTAGCTTTGGAGCATTATGGCCTGCCAGGCCCAGAAAGCAAGTGACCTTGTCTAAAGGCCTGAACCAAACCAAAAATATGCATTTGAAATGGGAAAACTTTGTAGTGAGTGTTTGTGAGGGTTCAAGGATACCAGAGAGGTGCCTGCCACGTGGGGATGCCAGATGTACAGGTAGGCAAGGTCATCACAAGCAGTCAGCACTCACTCGGCTTGGTTTCTGTTGATCCAATCTGAGTCTTTACTCTGGCTTTTATGGAAGGACTCACTAGTCTGCCGCATTTAGGTGTCTCTAAAGCAGTAACAGAGCATATTACAGCGGTATTTTAACTTCCTAGTTTTAGCATTGTCTAAACAGAGGTTGTCTCTGGGTAGAGACTGGGCTCTTCAATGACATTAATTTGCACTTTCCATATTAGAAATGCCTAAAATATTTACCTCCCAATCATAAGGTTCCAAACACAAGTCCAGAATAGTACTGACATAAAAAGGAGATATCTTTCATTTATATTTTTAAATAGGACAAAATAGTATATTTTCAAATAGCCTCAGAAACCGTGAGCACCATTGATGTTATAGTGTGCTGCCATCAGGTGTTCGTTTGCTAGAATGCAAAGGCAACTAGGCTTGAAGTGTGGCTGTATTCCTGCTCCTTACAGTCTGCAAATGTCAGATTTCAGCGGCTTTCTGAGGGTATATTTTAACAATAATTTCAAGATTTCTTCTCTAGAAGGATTCATGCAATAACCTTGCTAATTGTAGTTTGGTATTTTCTGCATACTGGTATTTATTTGTCCTCATACATACAAAGGATGGGCAGTGGTGACTTACCCACTCTGCCTGCACCGTATGACCTACCACTTTACTTGCCTAAATGTGATATTCATTGATTGGAAGTGTTTTTTTTTTTAATAATAATTTTGGTAGTCATATGGCAAAAAAAAACCCCAAAAAACAGCAATATTGCTAAGCAGGCTTTTCTGAAAAGGCTGAATAATTTAACTTTTTGTATATGTCCCGTAAAATATGATGAATGCCCACCTACACAGAGACTAATACACCTTAAAACATTTTTTTCAATTATTTTTAGTTATTTAAAATCTGATTGACAACTTTATGGATCTCTCACTGAGAAATATTTGAAAAAAAAGTTTAAAAATATCATCTGATAGAAATTCCTGAGTGCTTCTGGTTCATAATTTAGAATGTCACTGCATAGTGTTTAACAGTTGAGCTCAGACAAACTGTTCCCTTTAGTTTTCAGCAAAGATGAACCGTAAAACTCAAATGAAACTCAGAAAAACATCATATTTCCTAATATTAAAAATATACTCTTAGATTACTGAGTTCTTGATGAATCTCAAGTTGAAAATTGTGAATATAACTGAATTTTCTTGAATGGAGTCCAAGTTCATTTCCGAAGTTTTCACCTTAAGACAAACTTCTCAGTTAGTTGAGTGGACATTTGAAGTTTTAAAGAACCCTGCATGTAACCTGGACCTCAAAGTGTGGGTGCTGCTTTTTATTTCTCAGCTAACAGGGCTCACCCCACCAATACTAGAGCTGTCCCCTAAGGATTTTAATATATGCCTTTAGTAAGCCATCCAACCTAGGAAAATCTGTTTAAACTGGCATACAGCAATCGTGGAAACTTAGCTTTTCTGCATGAAGAGGAGGCTGATTCTTGGAGGAGGAAGAGGAAGGGAAAAGAAAGAAAAGTCGTATCTAATAAAAACTTGGATTCACTACCTTGATGATGATCTGTAGCTACAGTACACACCTCCCAAAGGATCCTGTAAGGAATAACTAAATATGGTGATGGACTGTTTTTCATGCCAACATGCACAATCTGTGGTTATGGCCATCATTTATGGTAGCTAAGAATATAGCTTTACAGTTGTAATAAATTCAGCTGAAATTTTCAGTGACTTAGACTCACCTTCTGGGGGAATTATTTGCCAGCAATGATCATATATTTTTCTAAAATTCAACTGTTTGTTTTTCTCACTCTTTTTGTCTCCTCTTCTCCATTAACATGAAAAGTGGTCCTATTTTCTTCAAATATATTAATCTGATCCATAGAGTTGCTTGATTTTATCATGTGTTGACCATGTTTTAAGGATAATCATCACTTTACATTGGGTGCAATCCTGGCCACACTCCAGTGGATACATATTTCTGTGCTAATGTCAGTGGTGTTAGAGATTCTTCTGTAATATCAGTGATGCTGCTTCAGCTGGTGACTCACATGTGTTGAACAGGAAGGTTATTAATAGGAATATTGTTATGCCAGATGATGGGGTAGTGAGAGCAGCAGAGCTTTGAGGTGGAGCTGGAAGTGAGTGTCCCAAAAACAGGCTTTTAAACTAGGGAAGACAAAACAAAAACAATGACAAAGAAACAAGTTTCCTTAGAATAAAAAAAAATACATTTGAGTTATTTAGGGATGTTTATATGGGGAGAATTTGGAGGGAATAAGGAAAATGAGGGATAGAGAAAAGGGTATATAGCAGCTGTCCCTGGTCCCACTGTGTCCTTGCAGGCAGGAGTCACTGCTTAAGGATCCATACACACGTGTAAAACCAAGTCTGTTTGTCACACGTGTTCAGGCTTCATCTGAAATGTTTAGGTTTGTGATTTGTGTTTGCATAAAGGAAATAAACAGTGGGGTTATCTGCACTCCTGTAAATATCATTTATCACAGAGTCAAACTTGAGACCTTCATAAAAAATATACACACACACACATATATTTATAATATATACATTTGTCCGATGAGCTCCACTTGTTTGTGATTATGTGGTGGTTTCAAACACTGCATCATAGAAAGATTAATATATATAATTTATATAATATGTTCTTTGTGTAGGGACACGCAGTCTCACATACTCATGTGTATTTTGAATTCTTCACTCCATCCTCTGCAGTTTGCCAGCTCTTTATCCTGAGCTCCTGATGTTTTGTGTTTACTGAAATTGCTCTGAAATAGCGTATTTGTCTTTATTTGTCTCCTCCATATACCTAATTTAGGGACAGGGAGAAAACATTTGGGCACTTTGAGTACAGACCCTTTATGGAGCTCTGTGTAGTCAAACGAAGTTCTATCATCTTGGTATTTTCCATGTTGGTTCTTTAAAACTAGTTACTAAAACGACACCAGTCTATTTATAGCTGCTCTGTTGCAATGCATTGCTGACACTGAGTTTGAGTTTGGAGCCTTTTCATTTCTGACATGAAGGAGTTGAAAACACTTCTACACATGGAGCCTCTTTCACTTCCTGGTTGCTTGCCTTGTTAATCTTTTTCTGTTTATGATTTTTAGGAAAAACTGGTCCACATCTTGGATTGTTCTTACTGCTCGGAAAATGGAATTCTACAAAGAATCCAAACAGCCCGCGCTGGCCAATCTGGTAGGCAATTAACCATCTTTTAATCTCAGCCATTTCAGAATTGTTATTGTAATATAAAAAACTGGGAGCTTATATACAAAGAATTCAGACTGAGCTGATAACCTTTCAAGATTTGAGTGCAGCTGTAGGAAAATGCCTTGATAAACTTTTAATCAGATGTAGAGTGTGAGAAGAAATGGGACTTAGCATGTCCTTTATTAAGAGGTGCATTTTGAGGATAATTGCAAAGTGAGACAAATGGTGAGTGACTATCCAGTAATGTGAAGGTAACACTTCAAATTAAGGTGCCATTTATAAATGCTTTATTCTTATTTATGAAAATGATCACTAAATGCAGCCACTTCCTCAAATAATGTATTATAAAGTATGTTATAAAATGCATTAGTAATAAATGCTTAACAGATGATGCGATGAGAATCTGTTCCAAAGGATATTGTGAGACGTAAATTGTATTAAACCATGTATGTGCATCTCTAATACATGAATTTAAGTTGTTATCCAGCATCCTATAAAGTGGCTTATACATTAATAAATAATAATAAACTATTTATAAATGGCACCTTAATATAGGGTGCTACCAAAGCAGCAAACAGTATAAGTTAGTAAAGTGATTTTTTATCGTCGTATAAACGTGACATCTACCATATCCAGCTAACCTTCCTGAATATTTCCATGACTCCATCTAATGCAGCTAATGCAATTTCTGTAGCCTGTAGTTACTACAAAGTGAAATTTGCAGTACCTTTTTATTGTGCCCCAAGGAAAGGCCACTGATCTTAGTCTTCAGAGATGTGACAGCTCCATTGCACAAGCAATAACTGCCTGGATCCCTTCAGTGCTAGTTACTGTAGAGTTTGAGCCTCGAAACCTTTGTGTGGGCAACAAAAGGGGGATTCAGTAAATGTGTGACACTGTGGGCAGCGAAGGGACAGGTTTGACAAAACCCCGTTGTGAAAGGTTCTCAAGGCCTGATCAGACCTGCCATACCACATTGCCATGATGAGTGGCCACCAAGGTGCTCTCTTTGGCAGGAGTCGCAAGCAATAAGCTAATTTGTGTGTGGCAGGTGATAGGAATCCTTTTTAGTCCTATGTTCTTGATCTACCAGTATAGCTGACCATAAAGTTTTTCTTAAAGAGTATGTTCTCATCCTTTTGTTTTTGGTAATAAGGTGAGGCTTGTAAAAAGAAAAATAAAAAGGATGAAACAGTAAAAGTAAATAAAGGATGGGCACACATCCTGTTCTTGTTTGCTGTTGCCTAATTTGCTGTCTGTCCTGTGAATGGGTGTTGCTGTAGCAAAATCAGTACGTTCTGGAAACCAGTTCTTACCATGTCTGAGAGTCACATCGAAGTAGCAACACAGCAAATTGTTCTTCCTCGGGGCTGCACAAGTTCCAAGCTGTACAAGGATGTATTTTTAAAATAACTGTGTTAGCTTCTTTTAAAAAAGCTTATAAAGAAGCTAAGATAATGGTGTATGCATGAAAAATTATCATCAAATGATGAACTAGACTTGGAAGACAACACTGTCGTGTCCCTTGCTCTTCTCTTCCCTTCTCTTCTGGCCCTGCCATCCCTATAGCATGGTCTGTTTAAAGTAAGCTTGGATTCAGGAAAACTTCCGGCATCGTCACTGACTGGTCTCAACTGGCTTTGGAAAAATGTGATGTATTTGCTGCTGTAGCGGAGTTTGGGTGGCAGATTTCTGTGCTAATTAAGGGTTCCCACGTGCACTGTGTATCTTCCTTTGGGTGCTGTGTCTTCTCCTCTGTCCTCGCAAGGCATGGCCCAAATCCCAGGAGTTATCCACCAGCATAAATTCAACAGAGTGCTCGATTTTGCTCTGAGACTCCTTCACGTGGGTAAAACCCCTGGTAGCAGGTTAAGGATTTCAATCCTTTCAGTGGGTGGTTAGAGTAGAACTGCCTAGAAAATAGGGTTCTGGTGCAGAACAATCTATTTAACAACTAGCACGTGTTACCGGAAATGATTTTCTGAAAAGTCAGTCCTCCTCCTTTACAACTCACTTCGTCCGGAGCATTCACACTGATGAGATGATCCATTGCCTTATGGACTTGAATCTATTTAACTCAAAAAATTGCAAGTGTTACTGGAAATGATTTTCTGATAAGTCAGTCCTCCTCCTTTACGACTCACTTCGTCCTGAGCATTCACATTGATGAGATGATCCATTGCCTTATGGACGTGGTTTCTTTTTGATTTCCAAAAGCCAGATTTGGTAGGGCAGGTGCTACAGCAGCTTGCTGGAAGTGCAATTCCCCATCCTGGCATCTTACTGACCCCTTCCCTCCGTGCTGCCCTTTCCCTTCGTCCTGTCCCCAGCACCTGCATGCGTTAGTGTGACTCTCCTCTCTTTGACCAGACATGAAGTTCCCATCCTCTGGCTCCATGTAGAGCTTAGCAAGAATAAGGCCATAAATTAATCCAGCCTTTTGTTTTCTAAAATAAAAGGCTATGGGTTTTGCTTTTGCTTTGTTTTATTCTCTGCTAGGTCTGAATATTGGCATTGTGAACTTAAAGTTCAGTAGGCAAGGAAAATAGTTGAGGTTAAATTTCTGTCTCTTGTGGTCAAATTATAGCATGATGAATAAATAAATAAGGAAAAAGTTGGAGAAATGGGAATATCAGTACTAATGATGTCATAACCCAATTTTCTAACCCCAAATTTCACACATCAGAAAAAGCTAAACTGGCATGTTGATCTCATCTGATAAAGCAAAGCAATGTTAGTGTCCTCTGTAAACCATTTACCCAGATATAATTTTGACAGTGGAAAAGAAATAATATAAAGACTTCATTAAAAATCATTTGTTTACTGATCTTATTCAACTATATTTTACTTCAGAAAAAGAGGAACTCAACCATTAATTAAATAATGCAATAAAGTCAATGTTCAGTCACTACAATACGAATTATAACAAAGCATTTTTATTTATAGCAGGAAAGTGATGTGACTTAACCAAAAGATTAATGTACCTTTGTATTGTTAAGATATTAATTCATTAGTTATTAAATACTGTACATGAAGTGAAAATTTAAAATAAGAAAGCATCATTGTAAGAGGGATGATACTTCACAACAAAGGCAACGGGGAAAGGGAGACAAGCACATTCTAATCATCCCTCTTCTTTCTGATGATAGGATAACATTTAAAGGTGATTTACAATTATATTCCCCCAAATCCTTAGTGATACTCTAGCTTTTAGGATGGGCAATATCTAAAATAAGTTTTTGTTTCTCCTTTGTACAATTCCAGATATAAGACTCACTGTAATAACAACTTTCCTATGGATTCAGATGGGGAAGTCAGTGATCCGTAGCTTTTCTGATAAAGGTAGTGACTAGAATTATTAGTAACAATAATTAGAGGTAAATAGAGACCATGGCCACTGGAATCACCAGTAGGTGAGATGAAGAAAAAGCACTTGTTTACAATATTACTGAAAATCCAAGTCTGCAGCTCGTGTAACTATATTGGTATCTTTTGCTGCTATTTGATCGGTTATAGCTGTGCTTTTGGTGCCTTTTATGAAGGAAAAAAAAAAGAAAGTTTTTTAATTAAGGACACTATGATCTAGAGTGATCACAGCTCTGTTGTTAGTTCCCAGAATTAAATTCTATTATCACTGGTCTTTGTGAGCACGAAAAAACGGCCTGTTTATTCAACAGAGGTTATTTTAACCTCAGGTTATTAGCCCATCTGCAAAGTAATTTAGTGAGTGAAAATGCCTCTGAAATCCATATTCATGTTTAGGAAGATTTCATTGTAACAGACACTTGTACCAATTTACAGCATAGCCCCCTCTGACAACGCTGATATAACATAATTGCTCTGACTGGAAAACACACAGCAAGGACACGGCCAAGAGCGCAGGCCGTCGTGGTAGCCTTACCCCACTGCTCTGCAGTGTCCTGGGCCCCACATGTTTGGGCTGGGATGAATTTCTGCAGGTGTTTTGGGGCATTTGCACAGGTTTGAATGGAGCTCCTGGCGCTCCGTGGTGGAGAGCCTGGAGTGGTTGAACAAACTCCAGCTTGCAACAGCAAGAGACCAAGGCAGCTCGGTGGGCACCGGGTCCAGAGCCGTCCAGCTCCGTTGTTACCTGCAGCTTTATAGACCACTAGAATTAAAGGTGATAAAAACTTTAAAAAAGTTACCTGATATTGCAAAACTTCTCTGTGTCTTTTTTCTTTCCCCCACTTAAAATGCCATTTGAAAAGCCTGGCTGTGCTCTTAGCAGTAGCACTCCCATTCTGCGGGGTGCAGAGTGGGTCTTTCGTGGCTCTGTGATGAAAATTCCCAAGTCCTTCTCCTAGCCAGTGATCTAGTGAAAGGATAATCGATATCCCTAGTTTTTAAGTGTCATGGTCTGGAGCATTGAAAGCTGTTTTTTTTCTCTCCTACTTCAGCATTTGTTTTCTCTAATCATGACTCTTTTTGTGATTGGCTTTACAAATATTAACTGTTTCACCTTGGCAACAGCCTGGGGAAGCTGACGATCAGTACTGCAGTTTTGCTTTGTTATGAAAGTTTCAAAAAGTTGTATTTCCTGTCAGAGGCCAGACAGGAAGTCTAAGGCAGAACTGGGAAAAGAAAGAATCCTAAACCCGGCTCTTCTAGCGATTCAGCCACAAGAACATCCTTCTGTTTGGAATAACTTATTTTTTTTCTATTTAAAAAAATTAAAGAGAACAAAGGCACACAGGGCTGTCAGTTTTAGAGGAGCTGAGCCATGGTGGTTTTATGGTTTGGCAAATAGAGAATATAATTACAACTCCGGGACTCAAAAATGCCAGAAACCATGGCTGCAAATGCCTTGACCAGGATTTTTTGCTCTGCTTCTTTTAACCTAAATAGATCTTTTTCTGCCCATCTCAAGAGCACCCTGGAGAACAGACAGAACAGACTTTTTTTTTTTTTTTTTCCCTTCAGTAACAACATCAGAGAAATTCAGTGAGCAATCTTGGGAAAGCTGATTATGTGCTTGATGCTGGACTGGCCACCGTAACTTCTGCTGTTAAGTCTGTTTTCTTTATCACCAATGTCATTTTTTAAGGTAAAATGTCTCAAGAACAAGAGAGCAAAAAAGATGCACCCGGCTTGATTAACAACATTATGTGGATATTACTCCATATCTTCCCCGAAAGGGACTTCTTAGTGCTATATGTTGTTAGCAGCAGTAGTGTCCTTGTTGCCTGGGATGTTCAGTAGCCCGATGTGTAAAGGGCAGCCTCAACTGGAAGGCTTTGTCAGATCTGCTGCACAGGTAGAGCCCCTGGAGAGACAGTTTAGATGGCAAATCAGGGTTGTTTTGCTTTAAACCAGCTCCCAGCAACACGAAGGATTCTGGCTAGCAAATCTGCTCTCCGTATTACCTGCATCCATAGGGAGTAGCTGGGCAGGCAGAGCTGCGTTTGGGGATGGGATTTGGGCTGTCGTGGGCTGCAGGGCCACCCCGCAGGCACGAGCTCTGCACAGGCATCGCGCGCCCTCCAAGCTGCTTTGGGAGCTTCAGGTGATAACTGCTTTGGAGGAAGAAGCTGCTCTGTCTTACAGGGGTAATACAAGCTCTTCTATGCCTTTTTTTTTTTTTCCATCTGCATCCGTTTAAAATTGTAGGTGGATCAGCCACAGAAATTTACCTTTTAAACACAATGGTGTTTTGCAAAGTAAGCAGTTAAGAAACCCACCTGATCTGTGTGCATTTGTTTTGATCTATTGTGTAAGTGCGATATATCCGGCTATTTTTAAACAGTCTTATCATGTTTAAAATTATGTATCTAATATGCAAACTTTACTCCCAAATGAACGCACCCCAGTAACACTGACAGTGAGTAATGAACTCTTCTAGAGAAATTCTAGCAGCAGCACTACAATACTATGTCATTTGAGCTGTTCTGATCTTTATCTAGGAACTGTCACCATTTCTGAACATGGCTACATTCATGGTTATTTTTTTTCTTTCCAGAAACCAGGATATAAGCCTGAATGTGTGGATTTGTGTGGTGCGCGCATTGAGTGGACCCCAGAGAAATCCAGCAGAAAGAATGTCTTTCAGGTAAGAGCCCGTGCGTGCATTCCACTGCTCATTTGAGGATACAGTCTCTTAAGCTAAGAGGTAGGTTTTATTTCCTTCATAGGATATTTTAATAACTACAGGCTGATTTAATACTGCATTTTCCTTACCAATATAGGAGTGTAACATTTTATCAAGCGTCGGTTTACTATTTTTCCAAGAGATGGATTTCTGATGACTGAATCTCCTTAAACACTTGAGAACCTGTTGATTTATTGATTAATGTTCTATATTCGATTTGTTTTTAAAACTTAGTAGGTAATTGCTTTGGGTTCAGGCCTAGAATCTTGACCTAAGGAACTTCCATAAACACAAATTCTGCAAAATGCTTATCCAAGCAGTGCTCCAGCGTAGTGTGGTTACTGTGTTTATTTTCATTGCTGTTAAGGGTGCTCAGACGGTGATGACCTGGGTTCATTTCTGGAAGGGGAGGGGAAGACTCGAAGCGTCCACCTCTGTCAGGACCAAAATAGAAGGATGTGTGTTTCTTGTATGTCTATCCTTTGCTGATGGATACTAATGTTATTTAATTATTTCATCTAAATTCCATTGTATCGAATGGGAGGATCAAGGCCCTAAAGGATGAAAGGATGAAGAAAGCATTATTGCAGGGTTAACATTCCAGCGTCTAGGGGCTAAAAATTTTTATTGTGGCATTTTTAATCTTTGGACATAACCCAGCTCCCATGAATATCAGTGGAAATGCCTTTTTTTTTT